TGGCCATTGAATTATTTGGGACTACTGTCGGGGGGCAACCCTAGGAGTGTGAATTTTGGAACTTAGTGGTGGATAGATTCTCAAAAAGGCTAGCTTCCTAGAAAGGGAATAATTTCTCTCTTGGTGGAAGGATAACCTTGATCAAATCAACTTTGGCCAATCTGCTCGTCCATTTCCTATCGGTTTTTAGGATGCCTATGAGGATTTGTAGAAGGATAGAGAAGTTAATGAGGGATTTTTTGTGGGAGTTTGGAGAGGAAAAGAGGGACCATAGGGTTAGATGGGAAGTGGTAAGTAGAAGTATGGAGTTAGGGGGTCTAGGAATTCGGAATATTTAGAAGAGGAATACAACTTTGTTGGGAAAATGGTTGTGGAGATTTCCATTTGATTAGGATAAATTGTGGACAAAGGTGATTAAGAGCATACAAGGGTTGGCAGCTGATGGTTGGGACGTGGGAATTTCAGCCTGAGCAACCTTTGCAGCACCTTGGAAAGCTATTCACGCTGTCCTTCCTTGTTTTCTACCCTTTGTTGGGGTATATTTTGTGTTCTGGAAATTTGGTAATGTTTTGGGAACATGTGTGGGTGGGGGAAACACCACTTAAAGAGCAATTCCCTTATTCTCCCTTTCTAGGTACAAGAATAAACTTGCCACAACCTTTGTTTCTTCCTTTGGATTAGGGCCTGAGCTAAATTGGGACTTCGGGTTTAGATGAGGTCTTAGAGAATCTGAGTTGGATGTGGTGTCGTCCTTGGTTTAGATACTTCAAAAGGTTTTCTTGGACCCTTCTAGGGTGGATTCTTGAATTTGGACCCTTTCCTCTTCTGGATCTTTCACTTTCGCCTTTTTTTTTTCAACGATCTAACTCAACCTTCTCTTACTCCTTGCCTTTCCCTTCCCTACTAAATAAGTGTGGGGGAGACTGGTCCCTTCTAGGGTTGAAATAGTTTGTTGGGAAATAGCTCTGGAAAGAATTAATACATTTTTTTATTGGTAACAAGAAACTTTCATTAGATTATGAGAAGATTAAAATACAAAGGTGGGGGGAGGTAAACCCTCTTACCACCCCCCAACAATAAGATTACATAGTAGCCCAAAACAAATGGCTTCTTCCCACCCCCTGTTTGGCCAAAGCATCTGCAAATGAATTAGCACATCTTTTAACCCACTGAACACGCACATCCATTCCTTGGGTTAGCCACTTGAAATGCCTTTTTTCATTAATGTATGCCCATAACCCGTTGTTTGCCTTCTCTATCCAGCCAATTACTACTTGCGAATTGCCTTCAATAATCAGCTTATTTAGATTCAACTCCTTAGCCCTTTTTACCCCCTCCAGGAGGGCCTGAAACTCTGCTCTCAAAGAGTCTCCAACTCCAATTAATACTAGTGATCAAATTCAAAGAAAGAAGCCTTTTTGGTGCTTGTCCCCAAACTGGGGTACCCTTTATAAAGCTAATGGTGAGTCTTGCTTTCATTTACTAATCTCTTGCCCCTTTGTTTCTTCCATTTGGGAGTGGTTTCTTTCTTTATTTGGTTATAGGTGGACTACCCCTTTAAGCATTCAAAACCTCTTTGTCTACTCTGTTGGTAACTGGATCAAAAAGAGGGGAGGAATAATATGGAGGTGCACTAGGGCAGCGGTCTATTGGACAATTTGGGAGGAAAGGAACCAAAGAATATTTGCTGAAAAAGAAAGAAGCAGAGAGACAATCGTAGAGGTGGTAACATTAAGGGTGGCTCAATGGGTAAAGATAGTAAACATATTTGATGACATTTCCCTAGAAGCCATTGTGAACAATTGGCAGGAAATAGCAGCCTTAGCTCCAAGCAAAATCGTCACTCATCCTTTATGGCATCTCTCGGTGGAAGGCTTTATCAAGCTCAACTTTGATGGGAGTAGAGAAGGAAACCCAGGGCCATCAAGGGTTGGTAGCATTTTCAGATCGGAGGTAGGTTCAATAATTGCTCTTTATTCAGGACCAATTGAATTTGGGGATTCATTGAGAGCAAAAATTCTAGTTTTGTTAGAGAGGGTGAAAAGGGCTAAGGAACTAAATATAAACAGGTTGATCACAGAAGGAGATTCTAGTTATTTAAAAGGTGCGCCTAGGCACACAGGCGAGGCGCATTTTAGGGTAGACACCTCGCCCAGGTCTTATAATTATTTTTTGTGTGAGAACTAAGAATTTAAGACCTAATGTGGACTTGTTTAGGCTTGCCTCGAGGGGTGTGGCACAAAGGCAGCTCGTAGAATTAGGAATGTAATATGTTTTACATCACATTCGCTACTTGAAGTAATGTAATTGAGAAAAAAAGAGATTTTGGGTTTTATATGCTTGAAAATGTTTTATATTTTGATTTTATTTTTAAATTCTCATTTTAATATGCTTTACATGTTATATTTATGTATTTTAATTTTAGATAATAGGTTTTTAAAACATTTATTTAAAATTTAAGTTTATATTTTTATTAATATTATGCTTAATACTTTTTTGAAATTTTTGTCAGTTTTTGATTATGACATTTTTTTTTTTATTTTTCGCCTTTTATTTTATTTTTTGCGCCTTGCTTAAAAAGGCACACACCTTGCTCCTTAGGTGCGTAAGCAGTGGGTTACAAGATGTGCCAATTCATTTGCAGACGCACTGGCCAAATAGGGGGTGGGAAGAAGTCATTTGTTTTGTGCTACATTGTAATTTTCTTTTTGGGGGAGAGTTGAGAAAGTTTACCTCTCCCCACCTTTGTATTTAAATATTTTCTATTCTTATTTAATGAAAGTTCTTTGTTATTGATAAAAAAAGTGGAGTATGACAGGCTATGCTTTCAGGAAGAAGTAAAATGGAGGCAAAGAATAAGATGTTTGTGGATGAAACAAGGGGACAGAAACATTTCTTTCACAGAATGGCAAATGGAAGGCGAAGACAAAATTTGATTAATAGATTGAAAGAAGAGCGGGAAAGGGTTGAGGGAGACAGGAGGGTGTGGGATACCATAGTTAGTTTTTATGAAAATTTATACAAGGAGATCTAGGCTTGAAGACCAAGACTGGATGGCTTAAACTTCGAGAGTCTGTCAGATGAGGAAGCAATTAGTTTGGAGCAGCCTTTCCTAGAAGAAGAAGTTCTTGAAGCAATTAATGAACTAGGAGGCAAGGCTTCAGGTCTGAATGGCTTCACTTTGGAGTTCTACAAGAGGTGTTGGACCTTCATCAAGACTGACTTAATGAAGGTTTCTGAGGAATTTCGTGAAAGGGGGCCTTGAAACGAATCTTAAACTCCACCATTCTATCCCTTATCCCAAAGAAAAAAGGGGCAGCAACAGTAAGGACTTTGGACACATAAGTCTGGTTGGGCGTGTGTACAAGTTGATTGCAAAGGTACTTGCAAAAAGAATGAAAAGGGTTTTAGGCTAGATCATTTTGGAAAGTCAAAGTGCTTTCATGGACGGGAGACAAATTTTGGATGGAGTCTTGGTGGCAACTAAGTTAATGGACTCAAGGAGTAACAGGGAGGAAGGAGTGATCTTAAAGGTTGATTTGGAGAAAGCCTATGACCACTGGATTACATTGCATAAGAGGCTCAATTTTGGAAGGAAGTGGAGAAACTGGATAAAGGTGTGTATTACAACTACAAGTTTCTCTGTTTTAGTGAATGGTAGTCCAACTGGTAGAATCTTTAGCTCAAGGGGAACCAAACAAGGAGACCCTCTATCCCCCTTACTCTTCATCTGCATAACTGAAGCTTTGAGTGCTATGGTTAATAGAGCAATGGAAGGAGGTTTTTAGAGGGATTTAAGGTGGGAGAGGAAGTGGGGGTACCTTTACTTCAATATGCAGATGACATACTCTTCTTTGCAAAAGCTTCTCAAGATCAAATGGAGACTATTCACATGATTCTAATTTGGTTTGTAGCAGTCTCGGGTTTAAGAATTAACATTCAAAGTGAAATGTTTGCAGTGGGAGAAGGAAGAGACCTTCAGCTTTTGGCGAGTTATGTTGGGTGCAAAACTGGCAAACTGCCCACAAAGTACTTAGGAATGCCACTAGGGTAAAGATGTGCCTCAGAAAATTTGGGAGCCGGTGGTGGAGAGGGTGGACAAGAAGCTGGCACTGTGGAAGATTAAATACCTGTCAAAATGAGGGAAGCTGACTATCAAATGATAGGGAGATGGGTGATATGGTGGATTTTTTTTTTTGGTACAAATGGGAAAGAAAAAATAGAAAAAAAAGAAAAAGAAAACAAAAGACAGACCTGGCTACACACAATAGGGGGTAGCCCTTCCCCACAAGTCACTCAAGCAAATAGAAAAGAACTCAACAACCAAAATCCTATGGTAATCAAGATCCACCCCATGCACCTTGCTTGCCAACCAATCTGCAGTGTAGTTAGCTTCTCCATTGAATATTTAAGCACTTCTGCATTCTTCAACAAGGTTCTTGATGGACTGTGGAGATATCACACCTTTAAGACTGTCAATAACCATCTTTGAATCTCCTTCAATTAGTTGAAGGCTTATTATCAATGATTTCCTCATATTCCCGAGAATCCCATTTAGCTATTTTCAACTAAAACTTGAGGGGGCATAGTCTTGTTACTGTAAACAGGGACAGGGGATGGGTAGCTGAGGCTGCCCAAAATCTGTAAGTTTCATTTCTTGTATAATTAATGAATTTATTTTGATGTTGCCTATCAAAAAATATATTTTGTCCAATATTACGTGCTATCATCTAAATAGATGCAACTGTGTCATTTGAGCTCAACATTTTATAAACTGGAAGAATTGCATATTTGAGTAGATTTCACTTATTTATCAAAAAAAAAAAAAAGATTTCACATCTTAATTTGGACTCTCAGTGTTTAATTAATATGCTAGTTTCATATTCATGAAATATATATGTATTTCTGTACATATGTAGGAATGCATGTGTGTATTGATAGTCTTGTTGATTTCTATTATTAGCTTTAATGAAATCATTTTGATATTTAAATTTCTTCAGGTTCCTCTTGTGAGATGAAATTCTTAAACTCTACTGCACAGCTTGTAGAGCCTTTAGAAAGTCGAAAATTTGCAAGGTTTTCTTTGCAGTATACAGAAATGGAAGAGAGGCCTAGTGGACAAGAACATTGGGAGCCACGATTTGCTGGACATCAGAGTCTTCAAGAAAGGGAAGAATCATTTTATGCACATGATCAAAAAATAAACTGTGGTTTTATCAAAGGTCCTACAGGATCTCCAAGTACAGGTTTTGACATTGCAGAAGATGATGCAAGATATATGAGTAGTTGCCACATAGCTGTATCGTCTTGTATCTTTGGAAACTCAGATAATTTGAAGACACCTATGAGTAAAACGGTACGGGTGCTGGTATTTTAACCTATTTTCCATGTCTTAAAATAACATTGTGCTTGTGCAGAAGCAAAATAGATATTATATTCTTTTATATTTAATATGATATTTCTGCTTATTGTTCCTCTTTGGAATTATTACCTGGTGAGTGCAAAAATCGTGGATGACAGTTCTTTTAGATTTTTAACAGGGTTACTAGTTACTACTTCCAAGCATCATCATTGTGGCCGATATTAACTTTGGCAAGATATAAGTAGTGAATAATGATACATAACAAAATTTGATAGAAATGTAGGGTATCAGCTATCTTTTTTTTTTGATCAATAACAACATTTCATTACTAATTGCAAAAGTAATTAGAGTGAGGAAGATAAACTTTCTTATCTTCCAATTGGAGCTTAAAACTCCCAAGAACAAAAAGGAAAAAATTACACTTGTGCCTAAAACATTGACTCCCTCTCGACTCCTTGCTTAGCTAACCCATCCGCAAAAGAGTTAGCTGATCTTTTCACCCAGCTGATCTTAACTTCCATCTCTTGAACCAGCCACCTAAATTTCGATGCAGGGTATCGGCTATCAATAAATGTATGTATATGTAGCCTGAATTCATGAAGTGGGAGAATCGTATCCTCATTTTCTATATCTGTGCTCATGTTAGTATCTTGGAAAGTTGGAATCTTAGCGCAAGGCAGCTGTAAACATGGTTGCTACTGTACTAATAAAAAAAATACATGATTTCAACTGTGTTTTTGCTATATAAATGTGATTAAATATGATAATTGTCGGCTCATTTCTCAGTTCCTTTGCAGGTCACTCGGTTATCCAGGAAAAATGTCTGCTTTGTTATGTTCATGGATGAAAATACTTTGGAAACAGTTTCTTCAGAAGGCCAAAGGCCAGACAGAATGGGGTTTATCGGTCTGTGGAAAATTGTAGTGGTGAAGAATTTACCTTTTACTGATATGCGGAGAGTGGGGAAAATACCAAAGTTTCTAACACACAGGCTATTTCCTTCTGCAAGGTAAGAAAAAGAAAACAAATGGATGATGGTAATATTGTTGTAGTTCATAAAAAATGGTAATATTGTTGTATACATCATCCGAGTAGCTGGCAGTAAACAGAACAGAATGGTGAAACAGGATTATAGTTGGGAGGGACAAGGCTTAGATGATAATGATGGCACCATCTGAATGGAAAAGGCTGTAATGCATCTCCCTTTGTTATTAATTATATTTTTCTCGATGGAATATTCATTATTTTGGAGGTTCCCCTTTATATTTATTTGTCCTTTTGTTCTTATCAACCCTCCTTTCCTTGTTTAGACTCTGAATCTGATTCTTTGTTTCAAACTGACCATATTTCCTGAGATCAAACATCCCAAAGGTCTTATTAATAGAAAAAAAAAACTCTAGGTCACTGAAGAAGTCTTAGAAATGTGCTTTTTTTTGGACGTCTTAATATTCTCATATGTATTTTGGCACAGCTACTATCTGAAGAGGATTTCCATTGCACAAGCAAGCATAAAAGATACCGTTTTATTTCCCTCTTTCTAAAAATAAATAAATAGATAAAGTTTTAACATTTCTTAGCTTCTCTCTCTCAGGCTCTCCACATTTTACTTTTTTTAGTCAACGAGGAGAAATTTATTAATTTTATCATGAAAATTAGTACAATATTCAATAGGTTGGAAGGTCCAACAACCCAAAATTACAAAATCACAAAGGATTCCAAAAGCTTCACATTGTTGTCCAAAACAGCTTCTATCAACTCCCTATTTTTCTAAAGGATTTGCCATCCCATTTGCTGTCCTTCTTGCCCACTTAAAAGTGGCATTGAATAACTTAGAAAGGCTTTCAATTTCCCTATGTCTATGTTTAAGGTCCAAGGCACTTGATAGCTGCACTTTGTCCAAGAGATGTTCACTTTAAAGTTCCCTTCTACTTCCAAGTGTTGAAAGCTAGGTTGCTTTGCAAACCTTAAGCCTTGCAACAAAGCCATCAATTCTGCTTTTATCAAATCTCCAGCTCCAAGGGTCCTGAATACATCACCACCACCCTACTTACAGAGTCTTTGAACACATCCCTTATTCTTGCTATCCCCGGGTGGCCCATGGAACTCCCATCAAAATTCAGTTTTAACAAGTTTACTTTTGGGGTTTCCACTCCATGATTACCCTATCTTTTTCTTTAGACAATTGTGCCACCTCTACCCTTGTTCTTATTATGTCATCACCTAACAGACTTGAAAGGTTTGTATTGTCTTTACCCAATATGCAACTTCTATTTTTATGATGTTTACTATCGCCTCCTTATAACTGCTCGTTGAAAATTCTCCCTTTTTTGTCTTCCTATATAGTCTACTCCACTGCTGCCGTTAATGTTTCCCACATAATTCCTCCTCTCTTTTTTGGTGGCCTTAAGAAGCTTGGGGGGGGGGGGATCCACTTGTAACAAAAGAGAGAAAATGAGGAATGGTCTCACTGCTTGTTTTGCATAAGAAGCACTACGAGGAGAAAGACATTTATTGGGCCTTCTTTTCTGCAACATGTTGCAGGTACATATCTTTCCAAGGAATACTTCCCAGCACAGAGCTTGAACCTTAGGTGGAGTAGGCTTACTCCAAATCTCTTTCACTGGGAAATTCACCCTCAATGGAGTAGACATAGTAAGGTCTCCACATTTCACTTTTCCTGTAAATTTTGATGATGAGTTGTATTCAGAATGTAATTAAATATAAAGTGCCATTCCTGCTCCTTTATGGAGTCAAAACAGCCTTCATGCCTGCCAATCTAATGAGCAAAAGTAAACAAATCAAACAGCTAACCTCATAGGTTCGTGTCCTAATATAAAAAGTCCATCCAGGTCCACTTCTGCTTAAGCTATCAGCTGGGGAGTTTGTTTATATTTTGATCAATAACAAAGGCAAAATATTATTAAGACAAATATTAAGTACAAGAATAGGGTACAAGAGGAAGGGATAAAATCTCTTAGCTCCTCCTCAAATGAGTTGCATCATAGCCCAAAATAAACAGTTCCCTCCCACCTCCTGTTTGGCAAGCATATCAGCAAACAAGTCGCCTCAATCTCTTGTAGCCAATTAACAATTTTCCTCTTCTCATATATGTATAACCACCATCCAGCCTCCTCTTCTTTATGGAACCAACTTATAACAAGCTTTGGATCTCCCTCAATTATCAGCTTCATGGTGTTCAGATCCTTGGCCTTTTTAATCCCTTCCATAACCGCCATAATTTCCATCCCCCAAAAAGTCTCCTACTCCAATAGGGCCTGAGTAGAGAGCAATAACATTACCAACCTCATTCATTCCTGAACACTCCTCCAATGCCTGATGGGCCCAGGTTGCCTTCACTACTACCATCAAAATCGAGCTTAACAACATCTCTGGGTGGTGGGGACCAAACTGGCCTAACCACCCCCCTAAAGGGAGAAGATCTAGCAACCTCACCCCAATTCCTCATCAATACATCCCCTGGAATATCCTTGAAGAGCTCTGAGGACTTCACCCAATGGATCACCTTGATTGTAACAGCTTCAATAATGGCTTCTCTACTTCGATCTTTTCCAAGAAATATCGTTGATTCCGCTCTTTCCAAATTTTCCAACACACTGCTTCCCTTGTCCACCTCTAAAGCAATCTTCCCTTCTTCTTTGGCCAGGTTAGGAAAGTAGGTGCAAATAAGCTTTGAACGTTAGATGGAGGGTTCCACCTACACCCAAACAAAGACAAGAACCAATCCCAAATAGAAGAAGAAAAGGTCAAGACATTAATAAGTGATAGCAATTCTCACCATTAGCTTTGCATAATGAGCACCAGTGGGGGGAGTGGCACTGATTCTGTCCTTTTCTTTGGCCAAGTTATCTGAAGTTTGTGTGACCTTATGAGGTTGGGAAGCCTCTGAATTATCCTAGCGAAACGATGATCTCTTGGAGGTATTTTAAGTTTGTATCCTTCTGTTAATTTTATGAAACCCATAGAAATCTCCTCTATTTCTTCCTCGAGTATTACATGTTTATCTCAGAATTTATTTTGTTAAATTTACTTCAAATTGAATATAATTTCCTCATGGGTAAGAGAATATTTCATTTGAGTCTCCTCTGTCATTGTTGTCATCATCATAATCTAAGCCTTGTCTCAACTATATAAGGTCCACAGTTATCAGAACAGAAAAAAAAAGAGAAAAAACACTATATGAGGCCAGCTAAATGAATCCTGTTTGATCATTCTGTTCTGTTCAGTGCCATTTCCATTGTTAAGTTATTTCTTACTACTTCCACCCGTGTCTTTTTTTTTTTCGGTCCGTCCTTAGCTCTTCCCTTCAACATGTGACCGATCACTTTTAACAGGTGCTGTTGGTGGTCTGCCATATTTATTGTCAAATTATGTGAACCACCTCTGGTATCTGATCTCATATTTTTATGTATTAAATCTTCTCAGGTATTCAATCTGGTTGGATAGCAAGCTACGCCTCCAAAGTGATCCTCTCCTCATCTTAGAGTATTTCTTGTGGCGGAAAGGTTATGAGTATGCAATTTCAAATCATTATGATCGCCATTGTGTCTGGGAGGAAGTGGCACAGAACAAGAAATTGAACAAATTCAACCATACAATTATAGATCAGCAATTTGCTTTTTATCAGGCTGATGGTCTCAAAAGATTCAATGCCTCAGATCCCAACAAGCTCCTTTCTAGCTGTATGCAATCAAAGTTATACTTTATTATATACTTTTTCAAGTGAACTTATAGCTTAGGAAAATCTGTCTCACCTTTTTAAACGACTGTTCCTCCTGCTTTAAACAGATGTTCCTGAAGGGTCTTTCATTGTGAGGGCTCACACACCAATGTCAAATTTGTTTTCCTGTCTTTGGTTTAATGAGGTTGATCGGTTTACTCCTCGTGATCAGCTAAGTTTTGCATATACATATCTGAAGTTGAGAAGAATGAACCCTGGAAAGCCATTTCGTCTCAATATGTTCAAGGTGTACCATAATGTCTTAACATACTTGATCTATCCTAACATTAGAGAAAATATTTTATGACCATAAATTTGCCGTTTCTTTTCCTCATTTGGGCTCCTTCTATTGCAGGATTGTGAGAGGCGAACTATAACCAAACTATTCCATCATAGGCCAGAGGAGAAGCGGAATGTTCCTTTGCGGGTGATGAGGTGAATTAGGGTTGTGTTATGCCTTGTTGCAGAGAACTGTCAGTTTGGTTAATATTCCTCATGGTCCTGGTTCATCCAAAAACTGGAGATGATAGGCTTAAAATTCCCAACTGCTTTCCAGAACTGCTGCTTGCCCTCATGGTCGTTTTATTCTGCAGCCTGGATGTCAAGGAAGTCCAAAGGTTCTTGTTGAGTTCAGATTGTTGCTCTCTCATTTCGTTTTGTTATCTCCACCGAGTATAAAAAGAAATATACAGTTGGAATTTACTCTCAAGATGCAATTCTTTTCTTTCTCAATTTATTGCATCTTTGGTGGCATGGAGTTCCTGATTACATCTGTACTATTACTACTATGACTGCTACTTCCATGACTACATTGTTGTTTATTGACCCATTTTTTAAAATTTTCTATTTTTCTTTCATTTAGCTTTTGTCCAGCATCTTTTTCATTGTTATCTATTTTTCAGCCTTTGGTTTGAAGTTTTGATCTGTCATCCATGCTTTGTATGATATTTTGACAATTTGGTTATGATGTTGTTATCTCAAACTTTCTCCTGTTACAAATCTGTACTCGATGGAAATTGTTACTTAATTTGAATGCTTTTTCTGTTCATTAAGGGAAGACCAAGGATGATTTGGCTGATGTAGCAGTTTGTCTTGAAAACCAAATTCATACATAAATTTCCATAATGTCTTGAAATGCAGAGGGATGCATGTGTTTCAGACTTAGTCAGACCTGGGTGGACTTTTTAGGCTTAACTGGATATTCCAGTTACATTTGTTTTTCAATTTTGTTCAGAGTTTGGATCTTCTCCTCACAGAGCGTGCCTCATACCAACAAACCTCACAGAGAATCACAGGCGTGCATTGAGAACGTTTTTTTTTTTTGAGAAAAAGTTTATAAAAAAAATGTTCATGGGAAGATGTTAACATGGATTTTGTACGATCTGTATATGATGTTATCATTCATGTTCCCAGCACACAGCTGCGATGCACTGAGGATGACGGTGTGAGGTTTGCTCTTTGAGGAGCAGACGAACTCATTGTTTAACTAGCCTGGTTGACTGGTTTTGTTGTACAATTGCAGAATCAAGAATAAGTTCAATTAGGTCCCCTGTTTGAACTTTATTTCTACCACAAGGTTTTATTTGGTCTAACTTAACTGTTCATTGTATTGTGCATCCTCCGAATTGCCATGTTTTTATAATGCTTACTCGTGTCATCTCCACACATGATCTTATATTGGAGTTTCCCCTTGGAATTATTATCTTTATAATCTCCATTTTTATTTAAGAAGGCAAATGGCATGGACCTATTTTGTGGAAAGGGTTTTGAAGCAAAATTTGCCCATGGTCATGAGCAGCGGGTGGAAGATGCGAGGGATGTTAACAAAGTTAACATGGATTTTGTACGATCTGGTGGTAAGATCTTAAATCTAGAGCACCCCATCTTCACACTCTGGGTTATCATGTCACTTGGATTCTCTTTAACCATTTTCAAAATATACGAGAATGAAAAGTTGGTTTTAGGTTTACTGCGTTGAGACCTGCTGCGTGGAAAGTGGACACCATGCGATATGTAGAATCGTGGAGGTAGGCTTTTGTGCAATTTGACTTGTTCCTCTTATGGGAATAGAATTCTAAGCCTATTTTTATTTATCCACTCGTTGAAGGAACGAGTACATAACCCGGATTTTGGTTGATGATGGACCATATTCTCTCAAGTCTCAATTCATGGACTCAGTCTATTGTATTGACGGAGCAAGAACTAGTTTGTATAAGAGGTTCTAGACACAAATGCGCTTGAATTAATGCTATAATATAAACAAAAACTCTGTTTAATTGTTTCTTTTTCTGTATGTGCATACACTTGTGAAAATGTGAAAGAAATATTTCCATGGTGATTGGTAGTGCCAAAAACATTTTCAGTCAAGACAGCATATATGGCAAAATTTATGGCCAAGAGAAATTCAGTCTTGCCAAGCTGGGGCTTTAATGGAATTTCGAAGGCCCAATGTCCTCTTAAATTGAGAACTTTACTCTTTATGGTCTTAACCTACAAGTTACCCTCAAAGAAATTTTTGATCAATAGAGGATATAATATTGATAGTGTTTGTAAAATTTGTGGGGAAGAGGAAAACCTCGATCACATTTTTATAGACTGTTCTTTTGCCAAGAAAGTATGGCTTAGGTTGGGTCAAATATTGATGGTCCAAAAGATGGTGATAACTCATTGGGAACATCTCCCCCTGCATGATACTATGTAGAGGATGAGATGTTTAACCGTTTGATTTTTATCGAAGGTCTCTCGTTTCCCTCGAAGTAGGTGAAACTCGCGTTACATCCCCAACAAAGCTTCTTCGATTCCCAAGTTGTCGCAGTTTGTTCTCCCAAGGTCCTAGTCACACTAAAGCCCATAATCAGCTCTGCAATTGAAGCCTGGATGCGCTAAAGCTCCAGGGGTCTGCAGATGAAGCAATGAAGGCCAGAATTACAGATGGAATAGATGAAAAGATAGCACTGCCAGCTTTTGTCAACAACATCAATAGAAGTTTCATCCATGAGGGAATTGTTGGCACTATCAAAGTCTCCCGGATTTACAAGCAACAAGCAGTGGAGTCGGAGCATCTAATGAAACCTCTTCTGGAGCAAAGAGATGCTCTGTCATGAAGAATTTTTACAAGGGCTGGCATTGACAAGGTATCAGTCCTACAACCTCTTTGTTTTTCCTTCTGACCGAGTGATTGGTTAGGTGCATCTGAAAGAGTATTCTCAAAAAAGCCAAATGTTCACATCCTTACATATGGGAAAAGGCAATTTGCTGTGACAAGTCCTCATTTACTCAGTGGAGATGCTGAAGAGGCAATTGCTCGTTTCAGAACTAAAGTGAATACACCACTACATTGTTGTGACAGCTATCCCTATACTCTTCTGGCATTTGGTTGTGTGGATCCCTATACTCTTATAGAGCCTGTTGGGGACAAGCAAATTTACCAACATTTTGTAAAGGGGCAGGCTCTTGTAAGAAGGGGTTTTTCTCCTACAAAGATGGACATCACACAAGTTCTACTGCTGTATATCAGATTGCATGCATACTTTGGGTTAGATACCCAATCCAAGTAATGGTGCTGCCTGGCTACATGGGAGATCTACACGCATTGATCGAGGTTCCCACCTGAAGTTATTCACAAAAGAAAAAACACCTGATTGAATTCAACCATGTGTTCGTGGGAAGAACATGGGGGAGTTAGATGCATTACAAGGCTATCTTTGGTTCGTTGAAGCTATAACCTTGAGGTGAGGTTTAAGGGGGTGGGAATGTCACATGTCTATTAAAGGAGGTCCACGTGTTATGATATTAGATAGTATTTTTGAATAATGGGATAAGATTTGAAGGTGGTTAGTGGGTAAGTAAAATGGGGTGAGTAAAAGTGGGATAAATTAAGTGGGACACGTTATTAGTAATGTATAGGGATTAATTTGATTTTCTATAATTGTATGTGAAACATCTATAGTGCTTGTGTTTAATGCCTTATTTGTAGGGGGGGTTAGTTAACTAGGAGTCATGATAATTTGAGAGTTAAATGGAGTCTATATATATATATTCTTCTAAGTACATTTTGAGGATTAATTGACGAATTTTCTTTAGAATCGTTTGGTTTTTATCGGAGGTCTCTCGTTTCTCTCGAAGTAGGTAAAACTCACGTTACATCCCTAATAGGGATCGTGACAAAAACGCCTCACGAGTCAACCAATTTACAGCCTGATTAGCCTCCCCATACATGTGTCTGTACCTAAGTACTTTAAACCTTTTTCAAACATATTCTTTATTTAAACACACTATTTGATAATGTTGGTTATGCTCCAAGGGGGGACAGTTTTCTGGTTGAGACATGAAATAACAAGCCTGGAGTCTCCTTCAATAATGATAGGACATTCTCTGAAATTCCAAGCCATGTTGTGGGCTTCCCAAACCACCCAAGCTTCAACCTGGTTGATGGTGGAAACCCCTAACTTAACCGTTTTTAAGTCTAAAACTTTTCTAAGGTGGTCTCGAGCAATACTTGCTATTGAGTAGTTCCCATCACTATTACAGGTAACATAGAAATTAATCTTGATATAGCTAAAATTTGGGCATTTCCAAACTATAAGCTTCCAGTGCCTAACATCACAATTACTAGTGGATTCTTTTATTGCTTCTAAATTTTCTAAAATCAGATCCATTGCCCTTTCCACGACTACCAGAGGCTGAGCAAACTTTTTATTGGAGACTCCTTAATTCCTATTTCTCCAAATTTCCCATAGGATAAACGCTAGTTTTTCTCTTATATGAGGATTCCCATCCCCTTTGTTCTTTCCAATACGAAACTACCACTCCACAATAGATGGATCATTCTCATTAGGACCCTCAGTAGAGGGGTTAATGATAACCCAAATCTGTTTAGAGAAATTCTAATAATTAAAAAGATGGTCAGTGTTGTCCAATTCCCCACAAAAATAACAGGAATCATCTATGTCAAAACCTCTTTTCCTAAGATGATTTTTTGTAGGAAGTCTATTTTGGAGAAGAAGATACAGAAAAAGTTTTTATTTTTGGAAGGCAATTAATTTTCCAAACATTAGTAAGCCAATTATTTGAATCATTTTGCTCGACCATGCAAGAGCATTTTAGTAAATATGCCAGATTTGATGGTGAATTCACCTTTAGGATTGCAGCCCCAAATTAATTTATCCTCTAAGTTCGAGGAAATGAAGATCAGTTTCATTTTTTGCCAGATCTAGCTAGGAATTATCCCACGAACTTTATCTTCGATCCAACATTTTTTCTCATGATCAATCATGCCTGAAAGATATATATTATCACTTTCATTATTGCCATTGTTTATTTCTTTGGTTAGAGGTTTCCCAAACACCCAATTATCTTGCTAAAATTTGATTGATCTTTCATTCCCAACTAACTAGCGTGATCCTTTTTTTAATAAGATCCCAATTCCCGAGCAAGGAGAATGCCTCTCCATGCCCATGAGACATTCTTTCTAATCTTGACATCCCAAAATTTTCTCTCTTTAAGTATTTATCCTTGATGACCTTAACCCATAGATTTTCCTCCTCACTTAAAATTTTTCATCTAAGTTTTGTAGGATTTGCTTCATTTACCCAAAGAAGGTTTCTTAAACCTAGACACCCCCCCCATCTTTTGGGGGTGCAAGCCTTTTCCCATTTCGGGAGGTGGATAGGTTTTCTCTCACTTGAGTTTGACAATAAAAAAATCCCTATGGAGTTTGTTAAGATCTACAATGATATTTTTTAGAATTCTAAATGATCTCATAATAAAGCTTGGCATCATATTAATAGTAGAATTAATCAAAGTTAGCCTTCTTGCTAGAGATAATGTGTTCTTTTCCAAGTTGCCAGTCTCTGAGCCATTTTTTCCTTTATAAAAGTATCATTTGTTATTCTTATTGCAATTATGGGTGCACCCAAATAGCTTTTTGGGTTAGCATCCAAGGAATTCTAAGCATTTTAGAGAGAAGCTTTTTGAATTTAAAGGGAACATTTTTTGAAAA